CATAATTTAGTTAACAACATGGCTTAACATTTACAGAAATGTCTTATGTTATTAGGCATGTGAGAAGCTTTTAAACTCACTGAGAAACAGATGATAAAATTAAGAGAGTCCATGTGAATGTTCTGCAGTTAGACAATATTTGAAATATACCCAAGACATCCACAGAGTGAAATTTATGTAACTTGCCTGGATACCAAATGGCTGATCTCTGATATTCATATCATCCTTAGCATATCTGTTACACAAACACAAAAGAAAACAAATACTCAATTCACTACTATTTTTAAAACCATCATATACAAAAGTACTTTTTATTGGTAAGTGTGTATCCACTTCAGAGAAACACTTCCGGTAAACATTAGTTTTAATGTGTTTTCAAATATGGATGTAAAATTCAAACAAAAACTAAACTGATCAAGGAACTAGTTCCAGGTTTATGGGTTTTACTAATTAACTGCCAGGACATGAAAAGGATATGAAAGGTAACTAAGAAGAAGAAAAAAAAAAAAAATGTATCCGGATAAAATCCAGACATCTTACTTTTCTCGAGGGGCAACTTTTTGCCATTCAAATTTGTATTCAGTCTCTCCTTCTTGCTATAAAACAGAAAACATGGTAAGTTTGAATTTTTTTTTTAAGTAAGTAGGAAGAAAACATAAAGTAATGATGTAATGAAATACCTCTTTAGTTTCCTCTTTGAATTTTCAGAAATCATGGAAAGAAAAGAAATGATACAGTAATTAAACATGTGAAATGCAGGTGGTGTCTAAGCTGGAGGCAAAACATTTCACAGTTTATACTAATATAATAGTGCAAATACTCAGAAAGTAACTTTATTTAAATAGAGTGCACTTATAAATAATCAGCCTCTAGTACGTGGTTACAAATCTGGTAAAATGAGAATCACCTTTAAAACTATATTGATTTGATATACAAATACAAAACACTTTAAACTTTTTTTGCAAAAAGTAGCAACAATACTTAATTTTAACATCTTAAAAAAAAGATTTTTAGCAAAATGCACTAGTTTAAAAGCTCTTAAAGTAATCCCTTAAGCTTAGAGCAAATGCATTTTTAAAGTTCAATAATTGCAAAATTTGCTCTACAAGAATGAGCCCATCCAAGCATTTCCAAGGGTTTTTGTGCAAATGGAGAAGATGCATATTAAAGGGAACATGTTTCTTTTAAAGGGAATATGTTTTCTTAGTTCTGCACTTACATTCAGATTTTGCTAAAACTAAGTAACTGATACGAGTATCCGCCAGGTACTTAGTAACTTCCGATTATGAATCTACCAAATACAGTGATAGTCAGACCCACCAGAGTCAGGTCAGCCAGCACTTTTGTCTACAGGGTCTCAGTATTTATTATTTATAAAACTTCCACTAATTAACGTCTTGCTTTGGTATTTCCTATGCTTGACATGCATCAAGCTGAATTATGGGCAGAACTTTTAAGCAAAAGTGACCTTACTATTTCAAAAAAGGACAATAGGCCAAAATACAGGCTTGTGTTGTCCGAGTCATTGCCCTGGTAAGGTCTAGTCCTCCTCACCCAATGGCTTTATAATTGGCTAAAGAAACACCTTTGGTCAAGGACAGAATTTCTGCTGTTGCCAGGAAAGGTATTTTATCTGTTTTTCCCTTCACATTGAACTGTTGCGTTAAAAAAAAAAAAAAAACCCCAAACCAAACCATTCTCAGAAATTGTGAGATCAAAATTATTACACGCTATATATCTCTCCGCATATTTGTACAAGAAGAACTAAAAATCATACCTTCTAGCATTACCTCACTATGAACACATTATTTTAAAATAAAAGACACTATGCTTAATTCTTCAGAGGTTTGCAGCACTGTCTGCTCACGATCAGGAAACCAGAATACCTTTCTTTGCTCCAGGTGGGGCCTCATACATGAAATTAAGACCATTCTTCACACGCTCATCACCCATAAGCAATCTAAATAAACAGAACAGAGTTTGGGGCATTACACACAAAACATTCACTTTAGTATTACTTATTAAAATAAAAAAAAGAAGCGTGCAGCAGGAAATTGTGATAACAACTGGCATTTTTTTTTTCATTTGTTAATTTGAGTACCAGAAGTTGAATATCAAAAAACCCAAGAGATCAGTCAATACTTTTGCATATCCCGTTGTGTACCAAAAATCACACATTTCAGTCATAACTGAAACATAACTCCACGTCCACAGGATTATGGAGAACGGATTTCTGTGTGATCCATATATGTTGCTATATAAGGTTACCTGCTGCTCTGTGCAACGTCACATATTTTGAAATTAACTGCGTGGCACACACAAGCCATTTGAAAGAAGTTACTGTGACTTCTGCTTAATGAGACATCAATTTAGGAGTCACTGTCCTCTCCTACTACTACGGTCAGTGGGAGACTATTTCAAATAGCTCACAATGAGATGTCCTTCATTGCCATGAAAACAAGAGACAGCAGGAAGAAGTATGTGATCTTATGCTAATTCTCACCTATTATCATAGGATTCTTGTTCTTTAAGATACTGTTGCATTAATTCTTCTTGTTTCTTCTTATCATATGATATTTTCTGTTCCGCCATCCATACCTAGTTAAAACAAGTTTCTACTATAAACAAACTCGAAACCTACCACAAAATGTATTTATGTGTAAATACTTAACTGGCTTAATCTATTGAAAATATTTAACAAGGGAAAACTGCCATTCTAATCACATCAAATAAATTATTTTCATCCAGTATTTCAACAAATGAACTTCACACAAACAGTATTTTTGATAGGCTACAACTCCAAACAACGCTGAAGAACTGAAAAGACGTGGGAGAGCTTAGCAGCGCAAAGGGAAAGGCAGCCTCAGAAAACACCCTGGCTGTGCCACTGCCTTCCCCGTAGCGACACTTCATCACCCGGGTCTCACCAGACCCCAAATCCCAGGGTCTCTCGGGAGCTCCTGGAATGGTGGGGTTCTGGGAAAGAAAGGCCTGGAAGCTGGTCGAGGCAGGTGGGAAACACTGGGAAAACACGGGCACACCGTGACAAATGAGGGTTTTCCTGGACGGCACGTAGTGTCAAACACACACTATTTACCCAGAGAATCAGGCGTAGAAAAGCTGGAGCCAAGAAAAGGCGATAGTTATACACACCTGTGAGCAACTAAACCTGAAGCTTCGAATATTTCTTAACTTTTTGTCCTGCCTCTTCCTCCCGCCTTGCCCCAACCCCGGCCCCACC